CGCGCCACCAGTCCCGTGCCCAGTGTTGTGCAAAAGAAAAGAACACGGTTCTCTATTTATTGATATAATAGGTAGGCTAGTCGTAAGAGGTAGTCGCAGGGTCCTACTGTAGGTTAAGTGTCGATCGATATAAGGCCTGATACATGGGTCAAGTCTCTCATCGCTGCCGTCGCTATCGCTTTCGTGCGCAAAGTGCCCTCTGCATTCGCCGAGACAGCCACTGACACCCCATACGCAGAGACGAACGTGTGTCGTACTCGTAGCGTCAACGGGCTAGTCGAAAGGGTCCTCGCCGCCCTGATGCAGCAGCATGTTGCCCAGAAGCTTGAGCTGCATATCTGCGGGCAGTCCGGGCCCGAGCGGCATGGCAGGCACCGTCTCGGACGATGATGCAGCCGGCGGAGCTGTGCGCTTCGCGGCCTTCTTCTTTCGCGAGCGTGCCGCTGCAGCTTCCTCCGCCGCAGCCTGCTCCTCCCGTCGCCGCTTCTCCTTCTGTGCCAGCGGCAGCAGCGTTTTCTTCCAGTCCTCGCCCGCCTTTTGGATACACCTGTCTCGCAGCTTTGTGCTGGCGTCGCTGCCGGGATGCTTCATCGCCGCCTCGAGCAGCGGCATTGCGACGTCACTGCCGAGGTTGTCCAGGAACGACTCGTCGACGACGGCCTCCAGGAAGCTCGCGTCAATATCGTCCGCGCGCCGGGTGCAGTAGTCTGCGACAAGCCGCACGACACACCACGACACACCAGCTCCCCCGTGCCTCTGGTGGTAGTAGCCCCCGCCGTGGTAGTAGCCCCCGTGGTCGGCCTCCGGTCTGTGGTCCGATGTGACCACACGAGCGAAGAGCGTGTGGTGCAGAGCAAACAGATCGTGGAGCTCCGGGCAGCCGCTGAAGTTATCGGCCGTAGCCGGGTCGAAACGATGATCTCCAGGCAAAAAGACGTGGTCCGCGTACAGCTGGAGTTGTTCGGCGGCAGCCTCCACCGCAGCGTCTATCAGCTTGTCCTGCGAGAAGAGATGAGCGTGCGCGATGTACGTCGGAGCGCACGTGTAGTCGAGACTCTCCTCGAGATACAGCTTCACCTCAGCATGGAGCGAGGGGTTCGCCGTATACTCGGCCAGGTGGAACAGCGCGCAAGCGTTTTCTTTGGTCGCTTGCAGCTCACCCGTGTACACATAATCGAGGAAAGCGGGCATCGCCTCCGCAGCCTCGGCATCCAGGTCCAGCTTGCTCTCGCCACGCGCTGCCTCTGCGAGGCGCGAAGCGCCATTGCCGCGGCACTGTCGCACGAAATAGTCACTCTTGCGCGGGCCGCCTGCAATCACGACCTTGTGGACATGATACGTCTTGCTGTTCCGGGCGGCGTCCGGCACGTTGACCTCGATGCGCCAATCAGAGAGAGTCTCATCCGGATCATCACGCCACGAGAGCGACGCGCCCTTCGCCGCTGGCTCATCGCCGCCGCCGTAGTCGCCGACATTGAAGCGACGAGTCATGGCATCAACAAGCACAGACGACCACGTGTCAAACGTGTCACTTCTTTGTACTGGTAAAAAAGGAGGTCGTGCGTCCATCGCGCCAGCCTAAATTATGCTGCTTTGGATTTGAGGTGAGAGAGAGATTTTAGAAAACTTGAGGTGAGATAACTCTTTCATGCGTGTAACTTGTGGTTTCATCTATTACGCTGCGCGAGCTGTGCAGCTTGCTGTGGAGTTTCTTTTGCACACGTAGTGTACCTGTGTTAGTGCCAGTGCCCGCCAGTAAAAACGAGAAAACAAAAAGACAACCCAAACGAGGGAACAGAAAAAGAAAGAAAGAAAGAAAGAAAGAAAACAGACAGCCCAAGGGAGGGATGGGAGGACGGCACGCCGCCACCACACAGGGATTTTAAGGTGATTTTTTTGTGCGAGGGAAAAGAATAAATAAATAAATAAAACGGGCACGCCAAACGAGGGGTGGGAGAAGGACAGGGTCCCCACCTGCACGAGCAGGATCTTGTAAGGACGATCAGGGACACAGGGGAAAGGGAGTGGGGAGCGCATCGCGACACGGAGGGGGGCTGGGCAGGGTTCACCCAGACGACAGGGTCCCAGGGAGGAGGGGAAAGAACACAGACAAGTTCGCCGCAAATTTCTTTTTGCACACACATCGCACGATGTTGGGCGCCGCCGCGTTAGCAACCTTGGCGGATGTTCCTTTTGGCTGGGAGTACCACTGCTTCTACGGCGCCAGCCTCTTCCGCGAACTGGACAGCTCGGGCACCGTGTACAACGAATTTCCTCAGGCTGCACAGCTCGTCCCGGCCGGCGCAAAGGCAGGCGAGAGCTCCGCGGCGGCGGCGGCCGTCTCCCCATCGTCGACGGCGACCGAGCGCGTGCGCGACGCGCTCGGCGCGCTCTCCGGTACCTGCTTCTTTATGCGCTCGGGGTACTGGACGTACGAGGTGTGCCCCGGCAACTCGGTGCGGCAGTACCACGCGGAGAACGCTCTCTCGGGCGCCGCCAAGGTGAGGACCGAGTTCTCGCTCGGAACGCACAACCCCGCCGCGGACAAGTACATCGAGAGCTCGCAGCGCTTCATTCAGAAGTACGTGAGCGGCGCAGACGGCCGCTCATCGACCGTGCAGCACATCTGCGCCGGAAACCGACGCGACGAGGACGGAGTCATCTCGGTGGCGGAGCCGGCTGCACGGAGCTACCTCATCACGCTCCGCTCAGCCGCCATGTGCGCCGCCGCCGCCGCCGCCGCTGGCGCCGACGCCGACACAGGAGGCAAGGCGACTCGCGGTTCCTCCGCCGCCGCCGCCTCCGCCGCCGCCTCCTCCGCCGCCGCCTCCGCCGCCGCCTCTCCGGCCGCGGCGGCGTCTGTTGGTGCGAGCGGGGGCGTGGAGGAGGTGCCCGTGGCGCCTGACCTCGAGCTGGCTCCGCTGCGGCTGCTCGACAAGCTCGGCCGGCGCTGCTTCCAGCACTCTAAGGACTACTGGACGTACGAGGTCTGCCCCACCAAGCAGGTGCGGCAGTACCACCTCGAGGGCCGAAAGGTGACGACAGAGTTCCTGCTCGGCAAGTACGACCCCGCCGCCGACAAGCTCGGCACCGGCGCCACGTACACCCAGACGTACGTCAACGGCTCGGGCGCACGAAGCGCGGCTCTGCGCGTGCGGTGCGGACGGAAGAACGAGCACACGCTGCTCGGCGTCGAGGCGAGATGCGAGCCGAGATGCGAGCCGAGATGCAGGCCGAGATGCGGGGCGGTTAGCAGCCGAGATGCAGCCGAGATGCAGCCGAGTCGCTGCTCGGCGTCGGGGAGAGAGGTTTGTTACGAAAGCCGCGCGCGAAGAGTCCCCCTCGCGCCCTGCTGCCCGCAGGAGCCGGCCAAGCACCAGTACGTCCTCGACTTTACCACCCCGTTCGCGTGCGCCCCTCTGCAGCGCCCTCTTGCCCGCCTCCTTTCCCCGCTCGTGTCCCCGCAGCGCCGCTCTTGGCCGCAAGCCTCCACCCCCACCGCCCGCAGCTAGTACCCGTCGTCGTGGCCCGCACCTCCCTCACTTCGGCCTCCGACGCCCCAAAGGTGCGACATCAACTGCGTAAGGGCGAGGCCGCGACCAGCAAAGCGCGGGGAGGCAGAGGAGCAGCAGGGTGGGTCTCCCTGAGCGCGCTGGAGCGGGGGCCGCTGTGCGGCGCTCGTGCTAGACAGTATGAGAGTGGGGGGGAGCCGGAGAGGGAAAGCGCGAGACGCGGGCGGTCTGTGGGGCTGCGGGCTGTCGCCGCGCATTGGAGGTCGCGTCGCTTATTTAATGGGAGAACTCCAGGAATCCGCGTTCGCGCGTCTCTCAAGCTTCCTGGGGCAGAAAACACTGCAAGTGTAAGCCGCGCACCCGCGCGGATGCGCCCCCGCAGCCGCACGCGATCCTCTCAGATGGAAACAGATGCGATCTCTCACCACTTTTCTCTGGCCGCCTCGACTGCGTTATCTCAGTCACGCAAGCCACACGTGCCGCATCCAGTGGGGAATGACAATGGCCGAGCCGTGCATCGCAAGTGCGGTCGCGCCGCCCAGGACAAGCGAACGGAAGGCGGCGCGCTTGACTCGCGGGGCGAGGTCAGCCTCGGCTTGATAAAAATCCCGGTTTAGCAGCAGCGTCTCGTAGATGAAGCTCAGGCCGGCTCCGAGCATGAATCCGCGTAGCATGGTTTCGAGCGAGGCGAAGATCATGCTGACTCGCTCTCCCTGCCTGCCCTCCTGCGCCCTCGTGGCTCGGCGGCGCTCCCGAGCCTCGCTCGCCAGCGCCATCAGGATGGTTCTCTTGACCTCGGGAATGGGAAGCTTTGCTATCTGCTCGTCAGAGAGGAAGCGCACATCGTCTGGCGAGTCCACGCCCGCGCCGCCGGCTAGAAAGCTCGGGTTGCGCATGATGGGATCGATGCAGCACTCAAGGCCGTGGTCGGCGAGAAAAGTCCTCGTGTCGCTCGCGTGTCGCTGGTGCTCGGTGGAAGGAGCCATGCTGGGATCGGCTGCGCCATCGAAGGCGGCAGCTACACCGTGCACGTCGACGAACGATTTTACTACTGCGAGGGAGAAGAGCGCTTGCATGATTGATGATGCTCTGGTGGCGCCTTCGGCCGCGTCGTGCGACCCGTGCGTGACACGGAACGGACGCGTCCCGGCAAAAAAGGAAACTCTAGATCCAAGTGTGTGTGTGTGTGTGTGATCCCAAGGGGGGGAGCTGATCCCACTCGTAACCAACTCTCGACTTGTTGACGAGACCAACAAGGCTAAAGATGGCGTCAGGCAGTCGGGTCAACTTGCTCTGGTGGCGCCCTCGGTCCCGGCCGCGTCGTGCGACCCGTGTCACGCACGGCAAAAAAGGAAACTCTAGTTTCGAGGGAGGAGGCGGCGAATTTGGTTTTGCTTTTCTTTTCGACCACGCGTATGGAAAGGGGTGGGTCAAGACGGATACGGGCTGGAAGTGGATGGGGGCGCAGTACTACGACGCGAAGTGGGTCAAGAAGGCCATAACGCGGCTGGTGCTCGTGGAAACTTTGGGAGGCATTGCGCCGCCCACCAAGCAGTTTCTCCACGTGTTCGCCAAGGAGGCGGCGGGCGCCAACACGGACCGGACGGTGTACGGGGCGGCGTCGGCGCGAGCGCCTCCTCCTTCGTCGTCCACCACACGCAGCAGATCTCCAAGGCGGCGGTGGCGGGCGACGCCGAAAACATCAACAAGCAGGCGCGCAAGGAGCGTACCGACTGGATCAACAAGCAAAAGAACAAGCAAGCGACAAACGGCTTCTTGTCCTCGGCCCCAGTGGGGGGTGCCCGCGCCGCCTACCTAGCTCTGCAGACGGGCCCCTCCACCCTTCGTGTAATCATGTAGATTGTAGTCCCCACATTCGCAATCGTGGGATCGCTTGTCATGTTGTTGTGTTCAACGCGGTATGGGTGGACGCTAGACAGATGATGACGGCACGCACGAGCGACAAGACACAAGGTGCTAAATTCTCTTTCCCGTGGTGTACCTGTGTTAGTGCCAGTGCGAGCCAGTCCCGTGCCCAGTCCTGTGCCCAGTGTCGTGCGAGGGAGTTTTGTTGTAAAATTCTCTTTTCACTCGCGCGGTGCACACTTTTGGTTGTCTCGACGTATGGCGCCGGCAGCACCACACTCACTCGGCTTGGCCCGCCTCCTCTCGCTTGCCACCGCCTCCTCCGCCTTCCGCCTGCCTAGCTCGTCTCGCACCATTGGCGCAGCGCTGCAGACGGCCACGAGCGCCTTCGCCTCTGGAGGAGTGCCAGAGCCCGCGCTCTCCGCAGAGCATCTGCTCGCCCGCTGCGCCGGCCTCGGCACGAGCCGTGCGGCGCTATCGATCCACGGGGAGGAGGAGCTCGACGCCGAGTCGCGCGCCGCCTTTGAGCGCATGTGCGCGCGCCGGCTCGCGCGCGAGCCCGTCCAGTACATCCTCGGCGATTGGGACTTCATGGACCTCACGCTCGAGGTGCGGCCGCCGGTGCTCATCCCGCGGCCGGAGACGGAGGGGCTGGTAGAGCTGGTGGCGCAGGCGCACGGCGACGCGGCCGCCTTCCTCGACGTCGGCTGCGGCACCGGCGCCATCGGCCTCGCGCTCCTCAGCAGGCTGCCCGCCGCCCGCTGCGTCGGGATCGACGTCAGCGCTAGCGCGGCTGCGCTCGCGGCACGCAACGCGGAGCTGTGCGGGCTGGACGACCGGTATTCGGCAGCCGCTGTCGACGGCGGGGTGGCGGCGTGGCGCCCATCCGACCAGCGCTTCGACGTCGTGGTGCGCCGCTGCGCGCGCAACACCTCCAAAGCACACACGCGCACACACACACACACACACACGCACGCACGCACACACACACACACACACACACACACACACACACACACACACACACACACACACACACACACACACACACACACACACACACACACACGCACGCACGCACGCACGCACGCACGCACGCACGCACGCACGCACGCACGCACGCACGCCTGGCTCAGCCACGCCATCACACCCCTTTTCCGACCTCTCCACCACATCCGGACTCCGTCCGTGGCAGGTGAGCAACCCGCCGTACATCCCTCGGGCCGACTACGAGCAGCTCGAGCCCGAGGTGGCAGGCCACGAGGACGAGCGCGCGCTCTGCGGCGGCGACGATGGCCTCGACGTCGTGCGGGAAGTGCTGCTGGCGGCGCCGCGGCTGCTGCGGCAAGGCGGTCCGCGCGCGGTGTGGCTCGAGGTGGACCCGTCCCACCCGCCCCTGATCGAGGCGTGGCTGCGCGACGCGCGGCCCGACCTGGGCATGGAGCTCGCTCGAGCGGAATGGGACGTGTTTGGCCGGCTGCGGTTCTGCGAGGTGCGGTGGCGAGGTGGTGTTGAGTGATGTTCTTGTGCGTTGTGGGCGAATCGTGCTAAACGTCTGATCTCTGTTACTGTCATGGCACACGACAATTCTCGCTGTGACTGACAAACTTACTAGTTAGGCCACGGAGAGGATTGTGAGGATGCCAGCCGTCTGCCCACACGATGCAAGAGAAGACGGAGGCGTGTAATCACTTACACGACGACGAAAATAGGAATCACTTATTCGAAAATAGGAATTCGAATTGCTAATCTCTTTTTTCGAGACGCTGCGAAGAACGCCGGGCGCCCGGCTCCGTGCGCTAGCATGACGACCACGATGACCACGCTGGTGCTACTCCTGCTGTCGCAAGGCGCGCAGGCGGCCTTACATCAGCGCATGCCTCAGCAGCGGTCACGGCCAGGCGCTGAGGTGTCCATGCAGGACGCGTCTCAACCGGCTGTGACCGCGCGAGCCGCGTCTGCCGCGCTCCTTCGCATTGGCACGGTGCCGTTCTGTCTGCTGCCGCTTATGCCGCTCGTCTCAGACGACCTCCGACCAATTTGCGAGCCACTGCTGATATGCCACGCGAGCGTGATCATCGCCTTCATCGGCGGCCTTCAGCAGGCTGCGGCGATCCAGCACGATCTGCCGCCGTGGATCGCAGTCCTGGCCATAGGCATTGCCCTCTTCGGAACGACGACCACTTCTGCCATCGCAACCGGCCTCATCTCAACCCACCTGGCGTTTATCACGCTCACGGTCGCCTACCTTTTGCAGCTGCTGATCGAGAGGACCATCCCGCCCACGGCGAAGCAGTCCATGCTCGCCGCCGAGCGCCAGCTGCCGATGATCGTGGCTAGTTTCTCTCTTGCGGTGGGCGCGGCTCTCACCTGACGCAGATGTTCGGCGCGGGCCGACGTTGGCTAATGTAGGATACTCCGCGGAACTCTAAGGGTAGGGGAGCAACACATCAGTTTGCGTCGAGATATTCTATGACGATAGCAATAGCATCTAGTATCTTTGTTTCTCTTGTCTTTTCACTTTAGACTTTTTTGTGTTTTTCGCGTCACCGTCGTTTGGAAGGCTCTCCACACACACATCCGCTAAACATCACATCCATGCGGCCCACGCCACACGCCACCACGAACATGAACAAGCCGACGCGACAAGCACCCACACAACGCTCACAATCGACAATGCTGGGGAAAGGATCTGAAGTGACTAGAAGTCAGATGGATAGTCACCCTCTGCGACTCGCCCGCTCGGGTCACCACACGGCCATCGCAGGGGGGGGGGGGGGGGGCATCAGGGGGAGGGGGTCCGTTTCACAAAAGCTCTCCCCAAAAAAGGCCGCTTCGGCTTGGAAAGCTTCCTCTCCTCGGCCTTGGGTGCATCAACCTGGGGGCCGTAAAGGGCCTCGACCCACTCCGCCACGTACTCGTCCCGCTGCCGCTCCGCATTGCCCCACGAGGCCGGCACGCCGAGCGCGCTCCGCACGTTGGCGAGCAGCGGCGGCAGCTGCCGCACGGGGTGGCGCAGGAGCGCCGTCGAGCGGAGGAGCGCCAGCAGCTCCTCCCGCTCGTCCGAGGGCGGCGGCAGCAGGTGCAGCACGCCGCCGCCGTCGCAGGCCGCCTCACGCAGCCGGCGGCGGAGGACGTGCGCCTGGAGAGGCGAGAGGCGGCTCCGGGAGGGCGAGGGGGGAGCAGAGGGCGCGGGTGGGCGGCCTCGCAGGCCGGGAGGGGGGGCGCGCCTCGGACGCGTTTGCGTGGCTGATCGGCAGGCTCGAGCCCAGCGAGTGCGCGAGGATCCTCCCCGCGGTGCCGCACGCCTCGGCGTTGTGGTGCGGGTGGTGCGGGTGGTGCGGGTGGTGCGGGTGCCCCTCCGGTGGCCCTCCCCCCTCCACATGCTCGTGGTGCCTCTGCTGCCTCCGCTCCGGGCCGTTCTGCGCGGCCCGGAGCTGCGCCCTCGCTCGGGCGAGGTCGTCCGAGGCGGCGTCGCGGAGCCGCGTCAGCTGCGACAGCGTCGGAACCTCCTCCTCCAACCGACGCCCTCCTGCCACGGGCGCACGCCCGAGCAGCCCCGCGATTCCAGACAGGAAGCTGCCCAGCGGGCCGGTCGAGCCTGCCGCCGGCCCGGCCTGCGGCGACGCGGCCGGCCGGCTGTCGGACGAGGAGCAGCGCGGCAGCTCGGCGGCGTGCGAGCCCTTGGCGTCGACGAGCTCGGCCGCGGTGCTGTAGTGGAGGCGGTAGCAGGCGCGAGGCGGCATCCAGCCGCAAGTGCCGAGGAGGGCGCGGTGCGCGCCGCCTCGCCTCGTGAAGGGACGCACGCGGTGGCCGATGGTCTGCCCTGGCTTGTGCAGGCCGGCGCAGCCAACCTGCGCGGACACTCGGCCTCGCGCCTCGGCACGGCACGCCTCGGCGTATCGCGGCGTATCGCGGGCGTATCGCGGCGCATATCTCGTGCGCATCTCGTGCGCATCTCGTGCGCATCTCGTGCGCATACCTCGTGCGCATACCTCGGGCGCATCTCGGGCGCATCTCGGGCGCATCTCGGGCGCCGCTCCTGCGGGACGACGGGCACACGGCCGAGCGCGTGGCTGATGAGGATGAGGTTGCCGACGAGCAAGTCGAGCTGCTTGAGCGGACCTGCGGGGGCGGGGTCCGCTCGACGTGTCATGGACGTGTCGTGGACGTGTCATGGACATGCCCTGCCGCGCGCAGCACGCTCGCGGCGGCTCTTCCCGTGGCGGCTCTCCCCCCACAGCTGCTCTCTCTCTCTCCGCCTCGCCTGACTCGAGCGGCGCGGCGCAGCTGCCGTTCCGCACCTCTCCCGCCGGCTCGGCGACCGCAAGGCGCGAGGTGCGGTTGGCCCAGCCGTAGTAGGCGGAGAGGAGGCGGTCGGCGCCAGCCTCCCACCAGCCGTGCGCCCGCAGGATGGCGCGGCGAGACCAGGCGCCTACTCTCGGAGCATCTGGTGCGACGTCGCACCCTCTCTCGCCCGGAGGATAGGCGCGGCGTCGGCAGGCGCCGGTGCGGATGCCCGCCATGTGACCCATCACAAACGGGGCGCCGCCTGCCACCCCGCGCGCGGCAACACGCGGGAGTGAGCACGCTGGCGCGGGAGGGAGGTGGCCCGCGAACCCTCTCGGTGGCCCTCGGGCCTCCACCAGACAGGCTTGGCGCGGCGCCTGCGCCGTCGACGCCCATCGTCCCGTTCCGCTCGCACGTGCGGATCTCGCGCGCGGAGAAGGAGCTCGGGAAGGGCATGAAGAGCCAGAGCGGCGCGATCGAGAGCCATGCGCGGGCCGGCCTCGGCGAGCCAACCTCGTGGAGGGGGCGACGCGTTCTCCCACTTCATCGCCGGAGGTGCCTCCGAGGTGCCTCCGAGGTGCCTCCGAGGTGCCTCCGAGGTGCTGCCGAGGTGCTGCCGAGGTGCAGCCGAGGTGCAGCCGAGGTGCTGCCGAAGGTGCTGCCGAGGTGCCGGGAGCCGGGAGCCGGCACCTCGTGGAGGGGGTACTTGCTGAGCCCGTTGAGGCGCGGCGCGCCGCACAACTCACCTACGCGCGCGGTCGCGTTGAGCTTCGCCCGCACCTTGCGGCGAGGCACCTCCTTGCCCAGAAAGTTGAGCAGCGCGTACTCTGCCGTCTCCTTCCACCTACGCCACTCCGACGGCCGACAGCGTCACCGACGCTCGTCGCACGACCGCGCGGGGGCGGGCCGCCGGCGCCGGAAGGTGCGGTTCTTGCGCGTGCCCGTCGCCCCCTTCTTCACCTCCCAGTGCGCCGTCGCCTGCGGGACGCGTCGCGGACGTGTCGCGGACGTGTCGCGGCGTGCAGCCTCCTCGCCGCCGCCGCCGCCCGCTCACGGCGCCTGCGCGTAGCTGGTGACGTTTGCGATCGAGGAGCGGAGCACCTGCGGCGCGGCGGCGGCGGGTCAAGCCACCGCGCCCCGCCGTCGCGCCCGGCCGGCCGGAGGCCGTCTCTCACATCGTTCATGAGCGTCTGCTCGTCGATGTTTGCAAAGTACGGCGGCTGCGCCCACGGCACATACTGCTTGACTGCGCTCGAGTTGGTGATGAAGAGGTGGAGGCGGCGGGAGAGCTCGCGCAGCACCCAGGCGGCGCCGTCGCCCGGCCTCACGTCCTGCGCGTAGAAGACGCCCGCGTTGACGAGCGGCGTGTCCGACATCGAGACGAGCTGGACGCCTCGATAGATGCCCTTGAGAGTCGGGTACGGGTTGGACAGCCACACGACGTCGGTGTCTGTCTGCAGCACGTTGACGCCAAACTCGATGGCGAGCCGCGCCGCATAGTGCTTGCGCAGGTCGTAAAAGTAGAAGGCGTACCCCCAGTACATCTTGGCGCACAGGCCCGGGTTGGCCGGCATCGTCTTTGGCAGACGCGACGACCAGACGCAGGCGATGTCGGGCAGCGCGCCGCGCATGGAGAGGCAGGACGCAGGCGAGTCGGAGAGGAAGAGCACGTGGTGCAGGCCGAGCGCACGCAACTGCAGCACCGTGTTGAGAGCATTCGACGCGGAGGCAGTCGGCGCGGCGTCACTGCAGACGATAATGAGCTCGCGCTGGTAGGCGAGCTGCGACGCGACCCGAGCCAGGGCGCCCTCGGCCTCGAGGTCAGTGCCGAAGGCCGTGAAGGGCGGCAGCCTGCCAGCCGACTCGAGCATTACGGCCGCGTCAAGAGCAGGTCTCGCATGCGGGCGGCCCCCCACGGCGGGGACGCTCGCGGGGGAAATTCTTTTTCAGCGCACACATTCCACATTCGCTGTCGTGGGATCCCGAAGTTTCTCTTTTCGCCGAGCATGCTGCCTTCGCTGCCACAACTCGTCGCCTGCTTGCTGGTGCCACCAACGCCTTTGGGAGCGCCGGCCGTGCAACGAGCACAACACACGGTGCGTAGCCTTGCGCAGCGGCGGCGCCAGGATGCAGCACGCCGCTGCCGCGCCGGCCTCGGTCCTGTCTGGCTGCAAGCTTTCCTACTTTGGAATCCCAGGTCGGGCAGAAGCGATTCGCCTCTCCTTGGCCATTGGCGGCGTCGACTTTGAGGACAAGCGCATTCCCTTTCCGGAGTGGGGCAAGGTGAAGCACACGACTCCGTGGGCCACCGCCCCTGTGCTGGAGCTCGCCGACGGGTCGGAGCTTGCTCAGGCGCGGAGCATCTTGCGCTTCGTCGGCAGGCATGCCGGCCTGTACCCGGCCGACCCGCTCGCGGCGCAGCGAGCGGACGAGCTGATGGACGCACTCGAGGACCTCGGCGCGATCGTGACCAGCGTCGGCCAGGGCCTCCCGAAGGAGGAGCAGGAGGCCGCGCGCCGAGCCGCAGTGGCGGAGGGTGGGTCGGTGTACGACTTCCTTGCGAGGCTCGAAAAGTTCGTCGCAGCGCACGGCGTAGGCGGCCACGCGGTGGGCGACGAGCTCGACGTCGCGAGCATCCTGACGTTCACCGCGCTCGGCAGGCTGGTCGGCGGCGTCTACTTTGGTGTCCCTCCCACAGCATGCGACCCCTTCCCGCGCCTCCAGGCGGTTCGGAAGACCGTGGGCGCCCACCCTGCTGTCGTCGCGTGGTACCGGGCGCGGGTTGCGCAAACGTCGCTGGAGTCGCTCTCGCCCGCGGAGCGGGTGCTAGCGGGAGGCGCGACATGATGTGTGAGGATCTCCCAAGATATTGCCGGAGACTACACCGTGCGGTGCACGTCTGCCCAGAATTTGTGTATGTATGTAAAAGAGAGCGAGTGACGGATAAAGTCGTGTGAAAGAGCTGTGAAAGCGAAAGTAGCGAAATTAATTGCCCGCCGCAGGCGAAGAAAATTTCAGGGTTTTTGGTCCCCTACGCCAAAGAAATCGAAGATTCCGCCGGCGGGCGGGAGGACGCGCCAACGGGCACGCGACTCGCGCTATGATCGCGCTGGTGCTTGCGTTGCTGTGGCCGTCTTCATCCGTGTCGTACACCGAGCTGGCGCCACAGCAGTACAACAACGGCTCGGTAGAGCTGCTCCACGGGACTACTATCATCATCAGAGGGCCCGGCAATGTCCACGGCGGAGCTGGCGGTGGCGGTGGCGGCGGTGGTTATGGCGGCGGCGGCGGCGGAAGCGGCGGCGGCGGCGGCGGCGGTGGCGGCGGCGGCGGCGGCGGCGGCGGCGGCTCTTACTGGACGGGGGCGCTCGCCGCTGCCAGCTTCGCGCTGATGCGGACGTCACATGTGCAAAGTGCCAATGGTCTCCAGCGAGGCTTGCTGAACAGCTGGAACGCAGTCGTGCTGGGCGCCACTCTGTACGCCTACATGCCTACCCACTACGGGCAGCTGACCACCACCGATTGGATACCCTGGTCGGCAGAGTCGGCGGCGGCAGTGGAGGAGCTTGCGGCTGCTACGCTCGAGGAGAAGTGCGCAAGGGCGCGGCTCACGATCGACGAGCTGTGGCTCGAGGCGGCGGACGCCCAGGTGCACCCACCGCGTGTAGAAGACCTCTCCTGTCCCCGGGTCCCAACTGCGCGCCATCTTTCGCTCTAGGAGGATGCACTCTTGCTTCGCCAACGTCAAATTGTACTCGCTGAGCACGCCCACTGGCTAGCCACGTGTCTCGAGTCGGACATGTGCCAGCCGTGCGAGGGAGGGGGGGGGGCAGGGCCAGGGCGTCCGTCGAAGGAGACTATGCAAAAGCGAAAGGCCGCAGATCAGCTGGCCTCTCAACATGGACGCTCCTTCTTTCAGAACGCGGGTTTCGCAATTCCTTCGCGGCCGCCGAAGCCTGCCTTGCCCTCGCAGCAGCGCACTATCACTGAACCTTCTGCCTCCTCCTCTACCCTCGGCAATGAGGCCGCCGAGTCGGCTACTCCCACCTCCGGCGCCGACGCAGAACTCACTGGCAGCGATGACGCGATGGACGGCAGTTCCTGCGCAGACCTGCCCGAGGCTCAGGCAGCGGAGGAAGCGGCAGAAGCAGAAGCCTCAGAGGCCGCAGAGAAAGCGGCCGCGGCTGTTCGCGCTGCGGAGCAGGCGGAGTCGAGGGTTGACTACGCCAGTGCTCTTCCGCAGGGTCGCATGCCGGCGCATGGCGAGCCGAGCTCGACGGGTCGCGAAGGTGCCTTGCGCGTGACAGCGACCCCGTACAATGATGGCCGGTACGATTTCAGCGGAGCATACAACATCTACGTCAGCGTCGCCGTACTCAAAGGTTCTGGTGGCAGATGGGAGGCCCTTAATCGGCAGACAACATACACCGCCACGTCTACCGATCCTGAGGATTGCCAGGCCGAGGCACTTGCAGAGGCGCGACGCATCGCGTGGCGCCTCTTGGAGCAGTCCAGGCAGCAGAGCGAAAAAAAGAAAAGGCGGCGCGGCCAACAGCTTCCCGCACCACCAGCCTCCGACCGCAGACTCCGGGAGAGAGGAGCGGCACAGCCGTCAGCAAAGCCTACGGATGGGCGCGCAAGCAACGGCCGCAAGAAAGGCTCATCCTCGCAGGCATCAGCCGAGTCATCAGCCGGCGCGGCACTGGCCGCTCACAGCTACGGAAACCCTTCGGTCAACTCGCAGCTTTTTGTGCCACTCGCAGAGAAGGCGCCTTCTATGCAGCTGGCAATGCTCCAGCGCACTCAGGGCGAGCTTCGGCGCGTCCAATTGCAGCTGGCGCAGGAGAAGACGGCGCACGAGGCAAGCAAGGAGACAATCAGCGGCTTGAAGGTCGACCTCGGGCGGCTCCAACAGTGGGCGACCTCTCAGTTGGCCGTCGATATGGACCAGCTACCGAGCCCCCGACAGCTCGATGCGCTACTCGGCCAGGGCTACACCGCCACGGAGCGAGGCCGCACGATTTACAATCATCTCGACCGCGCCTTCAACGCCATCCAAACCATCACTGGTGGCGACCTGAGGAAGACGGCAGAGCTCATCGCCTTTGCGAGCAAGAAACTGGATCTCAATCGCGACGATCACGTGGATGAGCGGAAGCAAAGGGCAGTGAAGGGCATTATTGATTCGTTGCGCCAATTCTTTGTAAAGGCGCGAGGCATCACCGGCGGGGGACGTCCTCCCAAAAAGCTCTCGCAGGCTGTCCAGGCAATCGTCACGGCGATTGCACACGCGCCCGAGCTGGGTGGATCGAGTCTGGCAGCGGTAGCGAGCGTGCTCGAGATGGGTGGGTCAGGTGCGAGCAAGCTCTCGGCCCGCGGGGATGCGGCGGACGCCTTTATTTCCGACGGCGACTACTCGATCCTCTTTGAAGACCGATCCAAGGTGCGTTCGGATGCGTACACAGATGAGCAGCTAGATTGGGTCAAGACCAACGTCTGGTTGAGCGACGACTTTACGAGAGAGTCGGAGGCAAAGAAGGATGAGATATTCGATCCAAAGTCTCGGAAGTCCAATCGTGCGCACCACCGACTGCGGTGGCTCGAAGTTCCCCTCATGGAACTCTATCAACGCGGCAGAGAACTCTACCAGGAAGAGGCGGCGAGGAGAGAGTGGAAGGTGACGAAGATGTCGTCAACAACGATACGCAATCTACGTCCCTTTTGGGTCAAGGATCCGACGAGAGACGTCTGCCTCTGCCGCTATCACCTTGAGTTTGATCTTCTCGCCAAGGGGTTCACTCGACTCTGCTCCGCCATCAAGTGCCCGAACGACTGCGATATCTGCGAAAATGCGCCCAAGTTGACGACCGGGCTCAAACTCCGCGCCGCACTCACGTGCCCGAGGCCAGAGGGGGAGGAGCGGTACGACGACCGCGCGTGTGTGGACGGGGAATGCCAAAAGTGCAAGGAGCTGCAGCTAATGGCAAATATTGTTTGCCCGGCTCGACGTGCATTGATGGCCGACCATCAACTCAAGTGGGAGAAGTATGAAAAGACCCACATCGGACAAGATAAGGCGACGGGGGAGGACCGATACAAAAATGACTTCATCGAGCAGGCTAGCCTAGCCTCCCCCCAAAGCCCCAACGCCCAACGCCATCCTAACGTCTGACGCCGTCCTTCGGCCTGTAGTCCGGCGTCGGGGAAGAGCTGTTCCAAGAGATTGGCGAATGCCTCAAGACGTTCAACCCGCATCACGATCTTGCCAAGCGACAGGTGTCTCACACGCAATCCCCGCCTCCCCTCGCGCGTTCGCCTCCGCTCGCGCGTCAGCCTCCTCCCGGCCAGCACACAACATTGACACACCGTGCCGTCTGTGCTCAGGACGACGACTGGTCGGCACTCAAGACTGACTTTCCGAGGGGCAGTTTCGTCTCGGTGCAGGACTTTTCTGAGAATCATCACCATAAAGTGCGCAACGAGCCCCAGGCCAAGTATTACCAGTCGGTCGACAGCACGCTCTACATGGTTGTGGTCCGATACCACCTCGATGACGCGACCAAGCTACCAGACGAGGTGAGAGACGAGCTTCGCGCCACTTATGCGAGTGTCGATCGGCCGCCGATCATCGTCGAGACCCTGGCCTTTGTGAGCGCAGATCGAAAGCACGACAACGCATTTGTGCGTCACGTGAACGATCGCTACGTCGTGCCATACATGCAGTCGATCGGCGATTTCAGTACGCACTATGCTCGATCGGATGGTTGCAAATCGCAGTTCAAGTGCGCGATGCACTTTGATTGGGTCAGTCGCCGCCAGTTTGAAACGGGGGTGCGAACGGACTGGTCCTTCTTTTGCAGCTGTCACGGCAAGTGCGACTGCGATCCGGAGGGCGGGTCGATCAAGTCAGCGGCGGCGAACTGGGAGCGCCATGGCGACCTCGAGGGCATGCGGGTTCAAGCCAAGCTCCCGGACGCGGCCAGCTTTGTCAAGTGGGCCAACGAGGGCAGTGCCGCCGGCTCGCCACACGGATATCACGCCGGCCTCACCGAACCTAAGGATTCCCTGTTGACCAAGCTGCGATGGGGCCGAAAAAATGCAATCTGGCGGCGGCAATTCATCAACGTGCCGACCACCGGCCCACAGGCAGTCTCCCGCATCTACTCCGAGTGCACGCTCGACGGCTCCGCTCGCATGCACTCTTTTGTTGACGTTGGTACACCGGGCACCATCTTGTGGCGTGAGCGTTCGTGCCATCAGTGCGAGAACTGCTGGGCTGGCAGAGCATCGACCGGGTGCTCCGACGAGAAAAGGTTTGGGCGGGCGGTCCGCATGCCGATCATCCACCAGAAGAAACCGGAGAGCAGCCTCACCCGAACGCTGCGGAGTGTGCAGTCAAAGCCGCTGCCTGAGATGATCAAAGAGGTAACCGATGGTCAGTATGTTTGCGTCGTTGTGAAGGACAACCCGCACGAGCCGTGGATGCTTGGCCGTGCCGGCGGCGGCGTGGAGAAGGCGACGGCCAATGACGTGACGGAGGCGGCGAAGCTCGGCTTTACTATCAAAACGGGGGCGGAGGTGCTGCGACTCATCAAATTTGAGCCATTTGAGCTTGGCTCGCGACGATACATTGAGACCAAGGTGCCGTTGGTGGTGCCAGCGACGGCCTTGCGGCGAGGAGAGCTCAAACCAAACAACGTGAACGAGCTGCGCAAATCGGTCAGGATCAAAAATCAAGCCAGCCGCTATGGTGAGTCGACCTTTGAACTCAAAGAAGAAGATCTACGTGCAATCGTCGCGATCCTTGGGAGCGAGATTGGAGACTTTAAAGTCGACAAGCTTCTCGCACACCGAGTCGTCGTCCAGAGGGGCAAGCCGGTGGACCAGTTCCAAGTCAAGTGGCAGGGATGGGAGCGTGAGGAGGACTTGACTTGGGAGCCGCTAAGCGCCTTTGGCGGCGATGAGACACTGCTCGCCGAGGCGGCCGACGTGAAAGCCAAAGCTGCTGCAGCAGCCCAGGCTGCCACGAAGCAGCGGGCAGCGACGGCGCAGCGTGAGGCAGAGCAGGAGAGGGCGGCGGTAGAAGCGGCCAAGGCGGCGGCCGAGGCGGCGGCAGCGGAGCACGCAAAGCGAGAGCAAGAGGCGGTGGAGCAAGCGGCAGCGGCGGAGAAAGCCGAGGCAGCGGCGGCGGCAGCGGCGGCGGCGGAGGCTGCGGCGGCGAAGGCGGCGGCGGCAGAGGCGGCGGCGGCAGAGGCGGCGGCGGATGAGGTGGCGTCGGCAGAGCAGGCGGCGCGGGAGGGGACGTCAAAGGCAGGGGCCACCAACCGCGCTCTGACTCAGGCACCGATATCGATGCTTATGGCAGAGTCGGGGGCGGAGCGTGACACCGCAGCCGCCGCGGCGAGCTCTACTGCATCTCGTGCGGCCGAGGAGGCTAAGCTATCGCGTGCTCGGGCGGAGGAGGCGGAGGAGGCTGCCGCCAAAGCTGCTGCCGCGGTTGCGCGTGCAGAGCAGGCCAGTCGTCAGATCACAGTTCGTACGGGTTACTTCGGGTCGCTCAAGGAGATGCTGTCGCTGGCGGGGCGTGAGGTCGTGCCGGTCGCAGGCGACGGCAACTGCGGCTTCTACGCATTTTTGGGGTGCGAAGACGCCATTGAGCACTGCCGGGGCCGGACGCGGGCACCGACTGCGCGTGACTATGCCGCTCAGCAGAATCTACGCGAGGAATGCGTCAAATGGCTGCAGGATCGCCCGCAGCTAACAGCATGGCATGCGGGCATGGACGCCGTCTCCAACTCTCGGAGACAATCATCGTGGAGCGACGCGGCAATCAAAAATTTGGAGGGCGGCAAGCAGAGCACATCTGATAGCATGGGAGTGTACGCGAACGAGGCTGCTCTCCGCGCGATGGCGGGGCTTCGGAAGGAGCCCCTTGTGGTTGTTGATTCCAAAGCTGGGCCGTCTCTGAGCAAGCAGGTTCGCAATCGCCCGCCAGACCAAGTGGCGGTGTATGAAACTCATGCAGGGCCAGAGGATAAGCGGCGCTGGTTTGCCTCTGTGATGAAATGGATGTCATGGGCGAACGACATTGCGCCGGTGCTGCAGCGTCGCCTCGAGGGCAACCAGCTGGAGGACGACCCCAAGTATCGCGTGATTGTCCACAATGGCGAGCCGGCATCGAGCCGCGGCGGCCACTTTGACGCAACGCGCGTGGTAGTGTAGTAGCGTGTCATAGCGTGCGTGCGTGTGTAAGGAATGGACCGCGTGTTTTCTTTTATTTTCCTCGACGGGCGCTCGACGCGCCGTATGGAGCACGCGCGCGCCCGCTCACGCTGCCCAGCATGCCTGCAGCATCCAAACGAGGCGCACGGCGTCGCTCAGCCGTGTCCACGCGGCTTCGCTCCTGTCCTAACCGGCGCCATCTGGGCGGCTGCTGCGGAGCTGCTGCCGGCGGTGCGACAACTGGCCGACAGATACGACGCTCAGGGCACCCGTCGGCGATCCACCGGGAAAGGAACGAAGGCGCCGCTGTCGGCGATTCACCGCCGCTCGTTCCCGTCTCTTAAAGCTGGCTGCACCGTCGATGCGCACATCGAGGCGCTCGTGGACGAGGGAGACGTCGCCTCCTCTTTCGTACCGGGGCACTGTTCGCGCCGGAAGGCACCGCGCACTGCCAAGTACATTAGCCTTCATCTCTCCTACCGCCGGCCGGGAGTGCAGCCTTCGCCATCGCTGGGTGAGATGGTCCTCGACTTTGGCACCTGCGAAGTAATGAACAACATGCAGTACATCATATGGCGCTATGACAGCCCTGCGATGGGCGACCTCGACGCAGACGAGGCGGAGCTCATCTGCGCGGCGCAGATCGCCGACTTTCTCTCTCTCCCTGCGCGAGTGGTTGCGCCACCTTGGATGAGGCATATGGGCTGGGCAGGGGAGGTGGTAGAGGAGGTCGACTGAGGGCGCGAGGCCGCCAATCGTCACAGTCTGCTGCTGACTGTCGGTCACTGACTGGTTGCGCATTGCGCTGGCCGCGCAGCGGCCTTTAGAAAATTTTGGCCGCAGGCCTAGGTTTTGAAAGATCAAGAGAATAAGCGCGGGTGAGGCTTTGAGAAGCTGCCGTTTGCGGCTTCCTAAGTCAATTTTTCGAGAGGAACGTTTTGGCTGAGCTAGAACTTCTCCAAAGTCGCGCGATCATCGAGTTTTGAGTCAATAATTATGAAAGGGAAGGGAGAGGGAGAGTTCTAGCTCAGCCAATCGATTCAGCGTGCTCTGAAACGCCCAAAACCGTCGAGTTTTTCGCCGTGGTCCAAACAGAGAGCTTAATATTTTGATTTTCTTGGCCACGGCCACGATTACCCGTCACTCGCTCAAGAGGGATCGCGAATGTTGGAGACGGAGCTCGGAGGGTGTGGACGCGTCCAGTACACATGCATATCAAGTGAAAGAGCGAGTCAAAAGACCTCCCATTGCAAGAAGCCAGTGAGCGTGTGAGAGAGACAGACCCAGGAAGGTTTTACAGCGTTACACGGCCCCTGCCCGAGGCCGAGCTCAGGCTCGACAGAGTCGTCTCGGTCCTCGGTGAACATTGTGCATGCTCCATGCACTCCGCCCTCATCTTCACTCACTTGTTCGATGTCCCGGTCGGCGTGTTCACGGAAAAACGAAAAAGCACAACCCCGGGCCCGAAATCGCACAGTGACAGTCACGCAACGCGCAGGAGCAAACACCTTCCTTCTCGCGCGCGCAAACGCCGACTCGCTCGGAGGCCGCACTGGCTGTTCACGTAAATAAAAGCACAACCGGACAAACAAACGTGTGAGTGTTAGAGTTGTTTGGTATTGGACCTTACACGCCTGTAACCTCTCTTTAAGGTATTGCTAAAAATCTCTCTCTCTCTCAACCGGACCCAAGACGCACAAGCACAGACAGTCGAGAAGGGTCAGACAGCAGCGACAGTCAGAATTGATTGATTGATAGTCAGAAGTCAGCGGCTGTTCACACAGAAACACAACCACGGTCGAGAGACCCCAGATTGGCATCCATGCCTCTCTGGACAGGGTGGCCCGCCACAACGACCCCTGGAATTGCGACTCGCCGCTTTCCTCCCGCTGTGATCCTGTGTGAGCTCTGTGTCTTGATTTGCCAACAACATACCTAAAACCCAAAAACGGACCCAGAGCACAAGCTCAGAGAAGTCAGCGGCTGTTCACACCCTGCTTTCGCTAGTCTGGCTCGGCCCTTTCGGCTCGCCCTGTGCTCGGTCCGCAGACGGTCCGCAGTCAGACGACAGCGCTCGCTCGACGTCCAACCGTCTGAGAATATGACGCCCCGCTCGCTCTTTGCGCTGCTCGCGCTCTCGTCCACCGATGCCTGCACCATGTACGGCGTCAGCCGCACCGCGAGCGCCGATGGATCCACCATGGTCTCGCACAGCGACGACGGCGCCGGAGACTCAGATTCTCGGCTCTCGTATGTACCTCCCGCGCGGCACAAGCCTGGCTCGATGCGAGACATCTACCCTACCATCGACGAGTACCCAAAATTCATCGGAGACGCCTTTGGCAAGACCTTTCTGCCGCTTCCAGGGCAGGCGCTCACAAAGCCGATCGGACAAATCCCACAGGTTGAGGCGACGCACGGCTACTACCTCAACGGCTACGCCATCCAGAACGACTGCGAGCTGAGCTTCGGCGAGAGCACCGCCTCGGCGGTCTTCCGTGCCGATGCGGTCGGGACGCCAAACGGCACCGCCCTCCTCGCCATTGAGGCGAGCTGAGCCGCTCGCCGCCACGACCGTCCTGCTACTTCCCTTCTGAGCGTCGGCATTCGGCTGTAGGAGCTGAGCCACCTCGCCGCGGAGCGCGTCTGCACGGCGAGGGAGGCGGTCCAGCTGATGGGCGACCTCGCCGTCCAGTACGGCTTCTTCGGGCCGGATGGCGGCGCGGGCGAGATGCTGGTCGTCGGAGACCCGGACGAGGTCTTCGTCTTCCACATCCTCTCTGACCCGACGGCGAGGAGCGCCATCTGGGCGGCGCAGCGGGTGCCCGAGGGGGAGGTGATGGTGGCGGCCAACCACTTTGTCATCCGCGAAGTGGACCTCGACGACGCGGACCGCTTCCTCGGCTCGCCGCACATGCACCGCGTCGCGCTGCAGCACGGCCTGTGGGACGGGAGAGGGAAGCTCGACTTCACCGCCGCCTTCTCGCTCGGCGAGTACGGAAACAAGTGCGGCTCGCCCCCGCCGCAGGCCCGAGGCGCCACTCCGTCGCACACGCACCTAGCCGCCTCCGCCCGCCAGGTACTACTCCGGCCGTCGGATGTGGGACGGCTTCCGCCGCTTCGCGCCGTCGGTGGCGCTCCCACCCGCGTACAACAGCACCGACCCGTGGAGCGGGCTCAAGGAGAGTAGGCCGTACCCCTTCTCCGTCCCGCCGGACGCGCCGCTCGCCCTGACCGACCTGCTCGCCGCCCACCGCTCCCACTACGAGGGGACGAGCTTCGACATGACGCGCGGCGTCGCCGCGGGCCCCTTCGGCTCGCCCGATCGCTACGCCGTCCCGGGCACGCCAGGCGACACGAAGAGGGGCGCGTGGGAGCGCTCCGTCGCAATCTACCGCGCCGCCTTCGCCTGGATCGCGCAGGCGGGCGGGAGCGCGGACAGGGACCGCAAGCAGGACTCCGCCGTAGTGGACAGGGACTCCGCCGCGGCGTCGGGTGCGGTCGCCCTCCAGAAACTCCTTCCGGACCCTCCTCCCGAGGAGACCGGCGCGCTGCGACGGGGCGACCGCGGGGACGGGTGCGGCTGCCGCAGCAAGATCTGGTTCGGGCCTGCCGACCCCGCCACCACAGTCTTTGTGCCTCTGAGTGTCTGCGCGGGCCCTCCGCCCGAGCAGTACACGCGCGGAGGGCCGGGCAAGGTGGACCGCGAGTCGGCGTACTGGGCGCACCGGTACACGCAGAACCTGGCGCAGGTCCGCTACTCGGCGATGATCGTCGACATCCGCGCCCACTCGCTGGAGTGGGAGGAGCAGGGCGCGGCGCTGGCCCTCCAGATCGGCGCTCTCCAGTGCGGCGGCGGCGCCCCAGGCCAAGGCCAGGCAGCCTCCCCTCCGCCCGACGCGCTGCAGCGCCTCCGCGGCGACTCGGCCCCGAGCCTCCGCCGGCAGATTGAGCGGCACGCGGCGGCG